AATGATTGATTGAAAAAATAAAGCAATTTGTATTAATTCTTTGACCAGCCACATTTAATATTAACATTTTATTAGAGTAATTAGATTTGACAAAAATATGGGATATTCAATATTTTGTTTTTATTTTAGTTATGAGATTAGAAGAGAAAATAATTATGTAGACCGGCCACATTAATTTCACATTTTTTATTAGGATTGTTATATTTGCAAATAATATTGAACATTTAATACTTATTTTTTATTAGAGTTATGAGATGAGAAAAAATAAGGGATATTGATTCTTTGACCAACACTATTTATTTTTCAATTTCTATTAGATTTATGAGATTTGCAAGAAGATGGGATATTTAATATTTAATTTTTATTAGAGTAATCTGATTAGCAAAATATATGGGATATTGATTATATTATTTTAATTAGAGTTATGAGATGAGATAAGAAATATGGAATTGCAATTTTCAGATTCCCGCCTAATTTATTCTTATTTTGAAACAGTAATTTTCTCAAATTTTGGAATTGTAATTTGATAATTATATTTACTTATAATTACTTATTTTGGCTGATCTTTTATTTTGTTATTTTTGCAGGAATTGATAGGAGATGGAGCATTTGAATTTTTTAATTTATTTTTTTAGTTGGTTGTAATATTTTTAATTTTTAATTTTTAATTTGTTTTCATTTATTTCATTTAATTTAATAATTGCGATTAAAAAAATTATTACTGGTAATTGTGGATAATATTTAATGTTTAAAAAATATGGCAACAACATTAACTTGTTATTATTTTAGAATTAATTAGTTGCCATTTTTAAAACAGTCAACTGCTTTACAAATATGAGCTGTTAATGAAGAAAAACAATGAACAGTAACGTAAAATGGCGGGAAAGTGCCACCTAGGTAAAATTAATTAGGTTTTCTTAAATGCAGAAGAGTCAGTAATTATATATATAGATATAGATTCTAATTCAAAATTTATTAATTTTATTTAATGTAATTGTAACACCCTAAATATTATTTACTATTTATGGAGCTCGACAATATTTCCATAAATACTAAGTTTCCTAATTTGATGCATTTATTATTGTTATATGCATTAAATCGAGTATTTAGTTTAAAGTCTAAGCCATGAAGAATTTATTCGATTTTTAATTATTAAAATAATATTTATTTAGCCCAAGTATCGGTTCCATTTTAAAAAACCGAGCCTTGAAATAATCGAAAATTTTATTTAAGCGGACCTAAGCCCGAATATTTAATCTGCTTGACCCAAACCATTTTCGAAAAAATTCAACTATTTTAGCAGACCCATTTATTAAATCGAGCCTATGTCGATTTTTAAATCACGACCCATTATTATTTAATTCGACCGACTAGTTTATTTAGTCCAAATTCGATTAATTTTACTTAGCCGAGCATTTAATTCCTTAATCAATATTCAACTTAATCGAGCCCAAGTCGAGTTGAATTTACTAGCCCGATGTTAGGATTTTAAAAGCACGATTTTGAGGCCCAATAGCACAATTGAACCCTAGTCTTCTTATCTACTATAAATACCACATTGGTCTTCTCCCAACACTCCATTTCCACGCCCAACACAAAAATCCATTTTCATCTTCAAGCTCAAAGCTCATCACCATCTTCACTAAAAGTCCGACCAGCTCGGAATCTGGCGAAGTTCCGACCGAACCCGCCATCCCGACCTCAACCCCGCTCGTGTTTCTCACTCCCGATGGTACTGGACTTCACGCGAGTCCAACCCGCCATGTCGAGCCCCTCGCGCCACTGCCCGTACGTTGCATCCCTTGTAACACCCCTTCTAAACTTACTAAAATCAGAGTAAATTTTTCGCGCTATAAAAGGAAAACTCTGTTTTAATTTTCGAAAACTCATATTAATTTTTTCGAAAATACTTTAACTTTAATATGCGGGATGCTACTCAATTTTAATCTTCAATCTTTAATCTTTAATATCTGTAAACTTCTGGGCATGCAACCGAGTACAATTCATTACTCTGAACATCTCAGGATTTAAGCATGCATAGATTGAAATTCTAGATACTGAAATATTGGGTGCGGAAGCAAATGTAGCATGCATCAACAAAGCATAATAGCTCAACACGATAAAATATACATGACAGATTTACTAAAAATATCTTTGCTATGACCACCACCACATCATCAGCTCACGCTCCATGCTCGACACCTTCACTTGAAAAATGGTTAGTGGGGGGCGTGAGCATAAATAATCCACGTGCTCCGCCGGAACCGGCACTGAAATATACAACTAATATAATAACATATCATGACATCGGCATATATGCAAGTACTTACTGGGTCGGCAGAAAATGATATGAAGATGAACATTTTACTAACAAATTAGGACTTCATCCAATAAACACTTAAATCGGCAAACTATCTAAAGATGCTACTTAGCTGACTGTCTATAATTTCTGCTCGACTGGATAACTATAGCTGCTACTCAACTGACTAACTATAAATGACTGCTCAACTGACTAACTATAAATGTTGCTCGGCTGACTGACTATATCTGCAACATCGCGAACTAAATGAACCTCTGGTATGATAAACACATTGTGAACCTAAGCATACATCTAATATGATAAAAACACGTCACAACTTAAACAACATAACAACACATCACAACCTAAGCATACATCTAATAACGTCACAACTTAAGCAACATAACAACACATCACAACCTAAGCATACATCTAATATGATAGAACACATCACAAAAGAGAATAAATAATTGTACTGTCTATAACGGCTGCTCAACTGGCTATCTATAATTACTGCTCAACTGACTGCTTAACTGGCGAGAAGGACACTTGGTCTTCACGCTCGTGATAAGCAACTATAGGACCTAATCTGTAGGTCGCTGCCACTTACTAAGGCAAAACTAACTCTTATGCATTTCTAAGGCTGGAGGTTAACTCACAACGGCACGAGAGTCCTTGATACTAATTGGAGATTCGAAACACTTGGTTATGACGAAACCTATCTCTAGATCAATGACCCTTAGGGAAGGATTATTCTAAGATCATCTGAAATTAAACTTAACTCAAGGCTGCTCTAGGGTTCTGAATTCACTTAACTCAAAGCTGGGCTATAATTCTTGTCTCATCTTAACTAGCGTTCAATTCACCTAGCTAGAAAGGATCTACTCGGTAGGTAATTGCTCCTATTTGGGCGAAATCTTACATACATACCTCAACCATGGTATTGCGATTATAGAAGATGTAATACCCAGTACAGGGTCCCCACCTGATATGCTGAAATGCAAGTGCTGAATGGTTTGCAACTGTCGGAGGCTCGACTCTCCACAAGCTACAAAATATATAAGCACAAAATATATTTTACGTACTTATCTTAAACTGAAAACTCGAATTATATTATCGGAGCTGTCTATGTTCGCTGACTTGGCTTTAAAATAATTTTAGGGATTTACGAGCTGATTTTGAAAATTTATTGTCTTTGAGGCATACTAGAGTTCTCTGAAATATTTCTAAGTCTGGAACTATAATCTGACTTAATATAATCTGACTGAATTCTTAAATCTGTTTAAATCTGAAATATGTCTAGATCTTAAATATATCTTAAATCTTAACTTTATATCTGAAATCTAAAATATATCTGAAATATATCTATCTGAAATATATATATCAGAAATTTCCCAAACCGTCCGGACTGCCCGGATTGATTCGGTTGAACTGGAATTTCCTTCGAACCGTCCGGACTGCCCGAACTGGTTCGACTGAATTGGACCGACGGCTATCTCAGAGCCGATCGATCACTCGCTTGACTATGTGCAACTCGGTTTGACCATGGTCTGAGTTCGGCGTGGTAACTCGAGCCGGCACGAACTCGACTGACACGGCTTAGCCAATGCGCGGGTTTGAAACGGTGCCACGGTCACTGACGCAGGGGCTTGCTTGGACCACGACTAACGGAAACAACGCGTAGACTGTAGACGGATGGACTCGGTGCACGGGCACGCACTCAGTGGTTAGACTCGGGCTCGGTGCACGGGCACGCACTCGGTGGTTCGGCTCCAACGGTCGAACAAGAGTCGGTCACGTGTGCGGACCGACGATACTCATTACGAATTAACAATACGACGCTAAATATTATCCAGACGGTACTAGAGTTCAGGCGATTAAATACGGATCTGGGATTTACCCGATTATTGGAACCGAATAAAATTAGGGTTTCGATTCTCGAAAATTCTAACTCATTTAAGGTCGATAATTAATATATATATTTTATGCGATTTATATTGATTTTAAAAATCAACAACTGCAGCTAAAATTGCAATCAAACTATTATTATAATTTTATCGCATTAATGCCCAAGGTCTCGATTTTTAAAACTAAGTCAAACGGTATCAAAAATTTATAAAAATCGAATCGAATCATTCTCAATATACTAATAGTCAATGGTCAACATATCGAGTCTAAAGTCAACCCTTAAACTAGTCAACTCCACATCGCTACGACCGGTCAACGCATTTGACCGGCTCGTTTACCTACCAAACCAAGTCCAAAAATTATAAAATTTTAACCTACGCCTCAAGACAACGCAACAAAATTTAGGTATTTATTTCAAGATTTTATCGAAATTATTTAACGAGGTCCCGAAAATCGCTACAAGCTCGTATGTCTCGTTTTTTCCAAAATCGCTCAATAATCCAATTCATACCTTTATATCATTTCAAATATTATTTCTAAGCCATCAAAACCGAGTTTAAGCTAATATACCTCAAATCGATCGAACCGGGTGGATCAAAAAATAGATCGGGTAAGAAAATGAAGGAGATGGAGCAACTGGCTTGGATCTAAAGCTTTGGGGCCGGATTTAAAGCTTCAAGGTGCTGAAAAAAGTTGTTGGGTCCAGTTTTGGGCTACTCGGGTCGGGTCCCGAGCTGCAGAAAGCTGCAGTCGCCAGAAAAGGGTGAAAGCTCGAGCATGGAGGCGCGTGAACAGCAGCCGCGGGTCCGGTGGCGTGAAATTGCCAGAAAAAGTTGGTGGCTGGCCGTGAACTTACTGTTGTCTGGCTCGAAGGTGCTGGTTCGCAGGTTGTACGGACGTGAACCGGGCTGGGGTCGTGAAGGAGATGTGGGTCGCGGACAGAGGTGGCTGGATCTTGAGCTTGAGTCGCCAGAAGAGCATGGCTGAGCTGTGGGTGGCGAGCTGGTGGTTGCGTCGCCGGGAATGGGAGCTACGGGACTAGGAGCTTCAAGGCGCGCGCGGGGAAGAGTTGGTCGCGAACGACGGCGGCTGCTGGTGGCGGAGCTGCGAGCTCGAGGATGGTGAGCTTGGTTTGCCCGGGCTGAGGCTGAGCAACCAAAACTCGGCTGAGGTGGTCGTCGGAGCTGGGAAGGAGGTCGCCGAAGCTGAGAACGACGAGAGGTGCGCGAGCTTGCCGGCGTGAGGGCTGCGGATCTGTGAGAGAAGCTGGGAGCTGCGAGCTCGGACTGAGGCGAGCTGCTGGCGGAATTAGCGCGGTGCTGCGGGCTGTGGAAGCTGCCGGCGGGTCTTGTCACTGGACGGCGGCGGCTCGCCGGAATCTTGGTCGGATTTGATGTTGAAGATGGTGAACTTGCTTGTGGAAGATGATGAAGTGGGGGAGGATGTTATGTATTTATATGTAAAATGAAATTAGGGTTTTGTGTTGAATTTGGGCCCAACATTGGGCTTTAAGATTTCTCTACTTGGGCTTAAAAATCGAGCTTAAGTCGGATCGAGCTAGTAAGTTTATCCGACTTAAGCTCGATTAAATCAATATCGACTAGGGAATTAAATGCTAGGAACTTAGACTAAATTAATTTAGTCAATCC